AAAAAAAAAAAATTTGACTTCCAAATGGCCGGCGCGGAAATTCCCCAAACAACACGTGTCGAAAAAACAAAAAACACACACGTACTCGATTTTAAATTAAAACAAAAAAAAAACTAAGAAGCCCATCACTTGGAATCCGCAACCTTCGATCTTCCGAATTTAGTTACTAAGACTAGTTCAAATTTCTAGTAATTTCAGTATTATTTATTGATTTTTTTTCTAATTTTCGGTTAGTTCAAAGTTTCTAGGATAAGGGGATTTTTGATGTTGTTTATTTGTTCGTAATTGATGACCGGTTTTGAAAGTTTCTTGGAATAGGGGATTTTTCGTGTTATTTATTTGTTCTTCTAGGGTGGTTTTTTCCAGCAGCTGACGTATAAATCAGTTTTGTCATCTGCCCTGATGCAGCTGAGAGAAATATATATACACATTCTCAATTTCGCCAGCATAAATCAAACGGTAATCCAAAACCAACCCCGAGACTGTTTCTTTTTGTACTGAAAGAGAGGACTGCAGTCGTCGTTGCTGTCCAATTAAATTGAAATGGGGGCAAAAATTAGTTATTTTTTTTAATTAATGCGTCCGTACACCGGAAATTAATCCCGACAGACGCATTAATTGTTTTCGTTTGCAATTACGAAACACGCACGTCCAATTACAATTTTATGTTCAATTATATTATTTTGTCTAGGGGGGTAGAAAATGATAATTTTGATGCTGAAAAAACTATTTAAAAAAATGTATATATTTCGGAATAGAAAGCCCGGACGATGTTTGTGGTAATGTGAAGGAAAGAAAGAATGAGTGAAGAGAGTAAGATGGAAGAAAAAAAACAAGAAATGTTTTGTACGCTTATGTAAAATCCTTTCTAAAACGTATGCCGCTCGCAGCAAAATAATAAACAAGTCAAGCGAATATATAATATAAAAACAAAGGTAAAGGTTAACTGATTTTTGCCTATAAATTACCTTATTTGCGAATCGATTTCACCGAAATTTGCTTTTTTCTTGGATACATTTTGTTGCTTTTTTGTTTGTTTTTTTGGGGGGGAAAATTTTGGTACTCTTTAATTAGTGTTATTTCGATTGATAGGTTTAAGATAGGAATCTGAAAAAGAGGAATCGAGAAGGCTCTGAAAAGCGCACGTTCCAAGAAGCGCCGTTGCATTTGTTGTGCGTGTGTCCGTCTGTAATTCATTTATGTCGGTGGTTCAAATTAAAATTTATCTGGTAATAAAGTTATTTATGTGTGTGCATTTCGAATGGGGGAAGAACGAGGCGAGGGCGCCTCCACTATCAGGAGTTTCCGAGAAAAACGAAGAAGGGACGGAGCGGCGAATGCACACCAAAAAGGAGGCGCCTCTTCGTATCGGATTTCTCCTTCTTCTGTCGCTCTCATCAATTCACGATGATTAATTTAAAAAAAAAAAAAAAACGTTAACGTTGTTTTCGTTCGTGAAACAATGCCCGTTGTTGTGGCGACCGTTACAACTAATTGGCGTCATTATCTAAATACGTTGCCACCGTAACAGTTCAAATATTTACACGAATTCGAATTTCCCGCGCGCTCTATTTATTTATTTTGTTTTTTTTTCGGTTGTGGCGCCACAGCCTGTTCGAGCTAGCACAAATGTTTGTCGAGTATCTTATCACGTTCTCGCTACCGCTCGATGCGTTCGCGTGTACGCGTATGAGCACGCCCCGACTGTTTGTGCACATTATAAATAGTTTATTGATAGGAATTTTGTTGTCGATTTTTTGGCCTTATCTCCTCCTCGATTCTCGGAACACAGGTGTAAATATGTTTGTACTATGTTCAAACCCCGTTTCCTGACAATTCTGTTTGTACACCCGAATCGGTTTTGGGGGAAAACAATTTCCCAATTTGTTAAATTTTTTGTTGTTAAATTCTATCTGTTTTTCGCGAACGATGATTTCCCTTGATGTTGATGATGATGATGGATGCGTTGTTGTTGTTGTTTACGCCGATACGCAGTTCACGGAATGAACAAATAGCGCAAACAATACCGGGAACGAGAATGAATGCATATGCATACACACTTACTCATAATACACTGTTTTTGGTTTTGTCGAAGAGGAATGCGGCGACGTTCGGAGAAAGCGCGCCCGAATTCGTAAACAGAAAGAAAGATGAAAATAAAAACAACAACGAGGTCGTTAAGAATTTTCTGGAAAAACTTATGTAAACTATGAAACATGTAGATTTTCCATCAAACAAGTGATTTTTTTATTTACCTGTTGGGTGGAAGAAACGTAAAATGCATTTTGTTTTTGTAGTCTTCAAAGCATAAACAGAGTAAATTAAAGAATAATGATTTCACAAGAGTAACGAACTCGCCTAAGTCTACACAATATACAACATATTAATTTGCTTTAAATCCAATTAGAAATGACACAAATATAATAGATATCTGTGTTTTGTTGTCATAGAAATACGTAATTAACTTGAAATTCGTTTCGAAACTCATTAAGTTAAGACCATAAGAATTGCGTTGGTAATTTGAAATAATTGGGAATAAGTTTTTAAAAAAAAAAACAAAAATCTAAATGTAATTTAAATACTGGATAATAGAGTTGAATAATAATAATAATTTTGCATAATGTTTGTTTTTTTGTTTCTTTGTTTGTTTGTTGAACATTCGTACGTTGGACGTACGTAAATAAATCAAAATTTGTTTTAAAGGTGAACATTTTATTTATTCAATTTGTTTTTTGGGTCACTCGATTCACATCGTCAAAGTTATAATACTTTGACTTCGTTTTGAGTGTGCGTTTGATACGACTTGGAAAGTAATTCAATATTTTGTCTAATGTTTGGTTCTAATTGGAAGATAACGCTGCTATTTTTTTTGAACTTGTCTCTTTTTTTAATTAGTAGTAGAAGGTGTTAAACGGAGATAATTTGGGTAATTTCCTTCACGAATTGTAAATGCATACAGAGATAGATGGAAGAAGCAACGGAAGGGCCTTATTTTCGGCGCGTAACCATTACATAAAAACCATTGCAACCTCTCTCTATTTATCTCGCAACTATTATTTTCTCCTTCTCTCTCTTTATCTGCGCTGCTGGAAATATCAAAGAAGGCGCTTGAAACGTCGTCGACCTCTTTTCCAGGAAAACCTTAAGGCCAGGTAGCCTTTTGGCGCGCTCACATAACTTGTACACATTCATAGGGATGTTTTTTTTTCTCTCTCTTAATACGTCGTCGTCGTTGTTGTTGTTTATCTTTCCGATATTTCGGTGGTCCCACGGTCTGCTTTCAAGTTGTTTTTCTCATTCTCCTCGTCCTCTTCCTCGCCACCTCTTCGTCGCAGTATCTCTCTGATTTTTTGGTCGTTAAGGTCGTTGGGATTTGTGAATGGTAATTATTGACTTCGTTCGTATGGGAGAATTGTACGTTTCAAAATTCCGCGAGAGACGGAGAGAAAGAACGATTGAAAGAGAAAGAAAGAGAATGGTGGAGGTATTTATGTGTGTGTTTGGTTGGTTGGCTTGAGGGGAACTCTTGTAACTGTAAATGCATAGCAAGAGAGAGAGAGTGATTCAAAATGCTGGAATGTCGGTGATGTTTTTTTTGTTGTTGTTGTTGTTGCAAAAGGAATTTAAAAATGGATGAATGATGATGGTCGAAGAAGAGATGGAGAATGCGATTGAATGGGTGTGAGAAGGTGAGATTGGGGCGTCGCGACGTTCTGTTGTGTATATTTCTGTATGCGACCTTGCCGGACATGCGGCGGCTATGATTGCGAGATGCGCAGTTCTAGTATTGCTTTTAAAGGGAATTCTAAGTGGAAAATGTGTTTTTGTTGTTTGTTGTTGTCTTACCAAAGGTGGGACGAGGCTTCTCTCCATCGGGCAACTCCTCTCCTTGCTGGAGAGAGATGAGTGCCTTGAGCCAAGACTCCTGATCCTCCTCGGATTCCAGCACGACGCAGAATCGGTCATCCTTGGTGTACAGAGCGATGACGTGCTTGTACTTGGTGTCGCTCCGTTTGTTGATGTTGAAGCACGTCCTCAGCGGAATGCTGCGTTTCGCGATCTGACCGCTTCTGAACTTCTTCTCGGTGTCGTAGTACTCGAGGCGAGCGGAACAGTCGCAGGTTTCGGCGCGCAGCACGAAGAATTTCCTCTTCGACGTCTTGAGTTTCTTCAGGTATCCGGATCGAACGATGGGGCCCGTGCTGGGCTCGCCCAACGAACTCGAACTCTTCACCGACATCATCGCCGTGTCGCATCAACACACGCGCGCGCACACACACTAACAATTGTCAAACAACAACAATAATATTATATATCTCTATATATTAATGATGATGATGAACAGTGGCAGCAGCAGCGACGATGGCAGAGCGATGATGATGATGAAAGGGGCGCACCGGAATCAAAACAAGACGGCGGCGCGCGTCTTCCTCCTCCTCAACACACGCAGACCGACAACTCTCTGTGCGCGCTTGTGTTAGTTAGCGTGTGTACTATATACTATATATCGAACGTCTCACACACAAACACACAGAGAGAAACGCGCACGCACACACGAAGAGAGCGAACGGCGAGTGCGACGGAGAAATAGAGACCATGCGAACTGGAAATTGTCCAAGGGCACCACGAATTTTTCATGCGCAATACACGAACACGTCAACATTCCAGGTCAACGAAAGGTAGCGAAGCATTTCCTGTGTCAAGTCTGGATATGGTTTTACGAAAAAACTACTAGTAGCAATAACTGATGATGATGTTGCAGTTGGGGTGTTGTTGTTATTTGTTGTTGCGCACAGCAGAGCTACGTCTCTCTTGCTATTGGTATCTCACGCGCTCTTTCACAGCACGACGACAACAATAAGACACAAATTGCGATGATGGCGCGAGAACGGAAAGAATCCTCCAGAAAGCAGACACCAAGTTCGTACACACCATCTACAACTGCGAACTGAATTCTTCACGCACACAAATATACATACACGCGCGCACGCACACCGTGTTCTTCTTCTGATGCCGTCGATGTGTTGTTATTCTTCTTCTTCTTCTTCCGCACACTCTCACGGATCAAAACAAACTTTCGAAAGGGCCTCGTCTTTTCTACACGTTGTATTTATCTTACATATATATTTTGATAGGGCGTCCACGCGATTGTACACTTCTACGTTTAATATTACTACGTAGAGAAATGTGTGTGTGCGCTAAATGTCGAATTGTAATCGTGGTCGCGACTCGCACGAGGTCCGGCACTGTGTCCTTACGTACACACTGGCGCACTAGCAGTATGGATGTGTGTCCCTCCTCCTCCTACTTCTCTCACTCACTCTACGCTTTTTCCCCGATTTCATCCATCTTGCCGAGGTCGGTCATGTGTTTGTAGACGTCTGCGAACGCGAATGCGTCTGGTCTCGCGCTCCCCGCAAGCGCTCCGTCTCGCACAGTCCGCACGGGTTGGAGTGGAAACGACGATGATCGGTTACGTGGACGCTCCTCGCCTACGGACTACGAGCGGTTGTAAACAAGAACGGCGCATGACCGGGGCCCCTCATAGTATTCGATATCAGGAAAAAGGCAGAGGAGGCCTGCGACGCGTCACGCATGTTCACCAAAAACAACAGAAACAAACAACAACAACAACAAAAAAATTGGAAGAGAAGAATTGAAAAGAATGAAAGAGAAGACAACAACTGTCGTGTCCCAGGGTACAATTTATATATTCTAATATCAGATGTAAACTATAATAAGAATACTAACTGTCGTGTCCCAGGGATGAATTCTGGACACAGTGGAATATTGTCTGGTGTTGTCGTTGTGGAGTCTCAGTTGTAGGAATTAAATAATTCAATTGGTTTTACATAACTTTATTCTTACTTGGTCGATTTAAGATTATTCATCTAAGACTATGCTCGTCTTAGGTTTTTATGAGACCATGTCAGTCTTTGAGGGTTTTACTGAGACTATGCTCATCATATAAACGTTTTACTGAGACTATGCTCATTATGTTAACATCTTACTGAGACTAATTCTAAATAGTTATTCTACTTACAAAGTTAATTCTTATTAATACGGGGTGGGAGTTGTGATCGGGAGTAGGGTTTGT